TGGAACCTGCATTTCGCGGTCTACCTGTATTTCCCGCTTCATACAGTTTCGAAAGTAAAAAGCCATTCCATCTAGCTGTTAAAATAATGTTTTCTTTTTTTCTTTTTTTTTGTCCGAGTACTGTTACTTTTTTAATAACAATCAATACATTGCTTTCATTTAAATGACTTTTTTTCCTAACTGAAGTATTACTACAGGTGTTCGCTGTCAGAGAACGTGAGAAAAATAAATTGCAGAGAATAGCGTAACATCTGTTCTATAACGTACTCAAGATACATCCACGAAGTAATGAAAAGTAAGCTACAATGCTGGCAGAGATTTAGGGCTAAATATAAAAAACAAAACAAAACAAAACCAATTTCCGAAACTGTCAAGGAAAACATTCTCGCTAAAGCTCATAGAGCGGAAAAGAAAAAACTAGATTTGAGTTCAAATGAATAAATGTAAGGTAGCATCTTTTCTTAATAACGGGAAGAGCTGCACTCTACTTGCCGGATGCAGGAGCCCCAAAAAACTACGATGTTTCGACTTTTATCGTGCTAGCTCAGGTGCTCGGTCAGAAGGGGAATTTGGTTGAAGTTTAATGGTTGAACCAAAAAGGAAGGAATACGTCTTAGCGTTAGCACTGAAATAATGAACACGCTTTCAACTTCAAGTTCATGAGAAGCATTCCTCTTTTTTATCCCAAACCCTTCTCCTTGCTTTCTCCCTGAAAAAAAAACTGTTAGATAATTGCTTTATAGTTATTTCTTTTGACTAGGTAACACTCTAGTAAAAATATGCTTTGTAGTCATCATAAGCTTTCATCCAGTGGAAATACAAGAAAAAAAAAATTCAGATATAACAAGGAAAAAGCGACAAAGGGCAAGTGATTGGTTAACTACATTGAAAATAAAGTGCGAGCCAAATTACATGCACATATATTTTATTTGCTTACACAATGTCAATTTTTGACAGATCTAACTGTGAATGCAGTTTACTTTAAGTCAAAGGCGCTTTACCAAAAACAACTGAACTTCATTTGAAGTTCACGGTAGTTCTATGTGTTCTTGTATAGAGGAACTAGCCCTCACTCTCCCATTCGAAGGCTTCAGGATCACGACAAAGTCTTCGACCTATGTATAACCCGGCTCGACCCGCCTGTTCATCTTTGGCCTCCTTTGAATAAAGAAAAACAAATAGAATAATTGTCAGTCTACAGCAAAAATATTATATTCCATCCATTGGAAAAGAATTAAAATGGTCCTACCGCTTATCACCACCCAATTAAAATTCCTAATTACCTGAAAGAATACAGCTAATTATCCCTACAGAACTTTAATAGAAATCTACCATATTTCATCAGTTCAGTTCTGTTTCTTGTACAGAAACCTGCATTAAGCAGTACGGTATTTAATGGTCACCCTGTATATAGTGGCCGGTCGTCAAAGTCCAGAGTCCCAAAAGCCGGGGTTTTTTTCTGTGCTCTCAACCTGTATAGACGGTAGATGAAAGCGGAACCACTCCAAAAAAAAAATGAAGTAATTTTAAATCCATTTTTCTGTGTTGTCTAGCAAGATTCTGTACATTAAGTGGTCAATTATGGCATAGAATTTTGTTAATCAGTTTTTATAATACCTCTAATATTTGGAATCTACATTTCGCGATCTACTGTAAAAAGCCATTCCGTCTAGCTGTTAAAAGAATGTTTTCTTTTTTTCTTTTTTTTTGTCCGAGTGCTGTTACGTTTTCCAATATCAATCAATACATTGCTTTGGTTTGAATGACTTTTATTCCTAACTGGAGCATTAAAAAGTGTTTCCAATACGTTCTGCGGCTCTGATAAAGTAATTATTATTAATCTTGCAATACTTGATACGTATCTTGCAACAATTGGTACATCGTTTGAATTTCAGCTCCGATTTTCTGTTTTAAATTTTCCATTATAAGCGTTAAATTACCTTGCTATCATTTTTGTTATAGAAGTTTTGTAAGTCTTGATTGCCGTTTTTTCGTCTTGAACATTTTGGGTTTTTCAAGTTTAACTTGATGAATAAATCTCTTTGTGACAAAAGGCTGAATAAATAGACATTCTAAATGAAAGGTTTTTTTAAATTTTTGCTTAGTCATTAATTTAAGAAATCATACCAGCTTGTTTCTCAAACTCTTTTTTCCAGCTTTACGTCTACGAAGCGGCCATTTAGAAGTTACTGCCTCGGTATATGCGAGGCACTGGAAGGTGATTACAAGACCCAACACTAACAGTATCGTGCTCAATCTACTGTACATGGTTGTTCATCGATCCCACTCATTGAACCAGAAGATCGAGCCCGTTTTATAGGCTTGATTCGGGGCACAGACAATGCATCTGTTAAAGAGTCCCATCGGATCTTAAACTAATGGAGGGGAGGTTAAATATTTGCATTTCAAGCTGTGAAGACATTAACTACAATTTTTGCCATTTCTCAAGATACAAGCACGAAATTGCTTTATTTCCCTGAGGTTTCAAAATGAAAAGCAAGCAACAATCCTGGGAGAGATTTAGGACCAAATATAAATAACAAAACAAAACAAAACGAAAACCAAAAAACCTCTCCTATTTTGTATCTGAGGTTATTTCGCCTTAAAAATTGTGAAATTGATTTTTTTACTCCATGTCACTATGTTAAACTTATCATACATTATAATAGTTCTGAAAGAGCGAATGCATTAAAAGGCGATAAGCAATAAGAGTGACTGCGAATGTAAGTTTTATCTTATATCCATGAAGTATGTTGCATTTTTATAACAGAGACAATTTTATAACCAAGTTTTTCTTACTTAAGCAAAATGTTAGTAACATGATCCTGTTAAACTGTTCTTTTACAAAACAACCAAGAATGTGAAAGTTAGCAAGCTGGCGGTAGTTGCTGCCGGACAAGAGAAAGGGAACGGCAAATAATGTGGCAAACTGACATCTTTTCAAACAGCTTTTATCTGCCTTGGATCCAAATTTGATCCAAATTTTACCTATATTGCAATTTTACTTAAAAGTGCTACATGCAGATGATACAAAAGTAGATTTAAAGGGTCTCTAATTGTATCGGTACTCTACGTCACCCACATGGACTTTCGGCACATTTCCGACACTGTCAAGGAAATTAGCCACGCAAAAGCTCATAGAAAGGAAAAGAAAAATTAAATTCGAGTAAATAAATATAGGGTATAATAACGGGGAACAGCCGTATTCCTCTCGCCGGATGCAGGTGCCCCAAATAACTACGTCGTTTAGACTCGGATCGCATTAGCGACCAATGGTTTTCCACTGACTACTATAAAAAAGACCAATTCGTCAGAAATTATTACCATCGAAGAAAAATGTTCGCGCTTTAACTTTAGTAATTACAGAAATATTACTAAAATGTTTAGCGCGGGTGCTCGGTCAAAATGGGAATTTGGTTTAGGTTTAATGGATTGAACGACGAAGTAACTTTGGTTCCATCCGCGAACCGACAAAGTCTGTTCACTTGTCTCTACCCTTTCAACGCAAAAATTATGTTTGTTTGTTTGAGAGCCGGTAATGAAACACATTATCCTTTCAAAAGCTTCTGAAAATATTTGGTTCCTAGACTCAGAATCTTAAATTATCCATGAGGAAATAAGGCTTTTCAATTTTTGAGTTAATTCGATGGAATTGTAATTGATTTTTCACGAAAACGCGTAGAAAACAAATTTAATAAATTTCGCTATTATCATGATCTTAAAAAAGGTTGTAAAATTTAGAATATAAACGATTGCGCTATGATGGGAAAAAATATTGACATCAAAGTGAAGGGGATTACCATCAATATCAGAAACATTGCCACGCTGTAGCTCGCCTTTTGGAAATAATTTTCCTTCCACCTAGACGCACTTGCAAGCTCAGCATGTGCGTTTTGAAACTGTGTACATTTCTTAGTCGTCCTCTGCAAAACAGCAACGTTAAATCACCAAAATTTGCGAGGTCTGAGAAAGGAAACACGACGGCAAATTATTTAAGTTTCCACTGATTTGGAACTCAACGCTGCTCTCTACATTAAGCTGAGCTATAGCTCTTCTCATTAGAACAGCTGCAGATAATTTTCCTCCATCTCAGCGCACTTGCAAGGTGTCCTGTAGACCAGCGCCTTTAATGCTGAGTTGATCTTCTAGACATCGGAAAACGCTACCAGCTTTTAAGGAAAAATGAAATTTTTTTTGACATTTTTTTTTAAGTTAGCAAACTAACATCTTCAAATACAGCTCATTTTTTTTCGCTTTTTCTGATTTTTTGAAGAATTTTCTTCTCAGAGCTGATAGAGTTACTTACTCAGAATGCAATCGTACTATATGCAGATGATATTTAATTAAAACTAGTGAGCTTCTAATTTTGTCTGCTCGGTAATTTGTGACCTCCACGACGGCTAAGAAAGACGGCTTAGAAATGTACACGGTTTCAAAACGCACGTGCTGAGCTATAATTCTGTTCATTAGATCTGTTGTTTTGCCACGTTCTCGTTGCTGTCGCCGTCGTCGTTTGCTAAAGGTCCCTAATTACGAACTTGTCAGAGCTTATATAGTTTCTGTAGCTACACTTCCCATATAAGATGTATGCACGTGATATGTTTGTTCCAGCGATAATTGCAAGTGGAGGGGGGCAATGTGAATAGTGCGTTACGCCCACCACGAGCAACCCGGGACACGTTACTCGCGAGTCCTGATAGTTTTACGGGCACGCAAGGATATTATAAAACTGATCTAGATCTAGGGAGGAGTGCGGTGATTCATAGCTCCAAAATCGGTACACCTGTATGAATTCCAGTTATCTTCATTGGAATAATTGTAGAGCTAACGATATGTCGATCTTGACTCTCGGTAGAGGTAACTATTGATATTCTCTTGATGTCAACACAAACAATAGTCAGCTTTCAGGACGAGTAATTATTCGGGCCTTGCAAAAAACGGTTCCCCTGGTCTTTCGTTCCCAATTCTACTAGAATAATCGTTGGGCAAACCATTCTTTCGTTTGTTTCTTTTATTATTTATTTTATTTTTAGGTCGAGATTTTAAAGCAATCAGTGTACATGTCACATTCTGAAGGTAACGCAAGAGTAAGGCAGCCAAGTCAAAGTACTGAATAATACATTAAACGTTCTAAACATATCTGTGCGTTCATGGAAGCATTTGTCAACATCGTCATTTTAAGTCAAATCCTGTTTATTATGCACTCAGTCGTCTTTTTGGGGGACTGCCCAATTGTTTTCCACCATATTGATGGCCTCGAAGTCCTTCCTGATCGAGGAACTTGAACGACGCTTTCTCGGAAGACGGCCAACAGGTGGTTGTGAAGATGGAGAAGAAGTAGGATTTGAGGGAACCTTCCCAAGAGTACCTTGAAATATTTTACTATTACAGAGAATATTTCGGTATATGTCACAATCTCGCTGATGAGAGAAAAACAGAAAAAAATGATGCATGTTTACAAGAGATTTAACAAAAAAAATTTGTTCGTCAGATTCAATACAAATACAGGCTGAAAGAAGTTGGGTAAGTGCAAGAAGATGCAACAAAATCATATTTTGTTAGTGACTGTTATTAGTTTTTTCGGTAGGAAAGTCAGTATTAAGAGGGTATTGTCTTGGTTAATATGCTATACCACGATAACACATAATGGGGCAAAAAAAAAATGACAGCCGGAATAAGTCATGAAGTTCGAAAGACTTCATACTATAAGGTTCCCGCTCTCTCTCAGAACTGTAAAACTTAGTCACTGACAGTCCAAGATCTTTGGAAAATGAGCAATATTGGTCTTGTCAGAGAGTTTGTCGAAAAAAGCCTGGTCAAATAATTGCTAATTGCAAAATCTCTAACCATTGCTTAACTTTAATACTGGAAAAAGAAAAGAAATAGGAGTAACTTTTCCCTTACACTCTAAAGCTTGATTATAGCTTAGGAACTATTTTAAATTCACTTTACTATAAAGACCAAATTACCTAGATGACTATGACGATTCAACATTTCAGATTTGCACCTGCATAGCAAGCTTTATCAATAGGAAAAATCGATTCCAAAATGGATAACTGGATTTTTTATTGTGCATTTTTGTAAGTTGCACTAAATCCTTAATAAATGATTAATCTTGACGAACACAATAAGAAAAATCAACATATTGCCATACATGAGCAGTGGCGGATCCAGACCTTGAGCTAAGGGGGGACCTGGTTTTTTGTCGCTTGCCCTGCCGGCTTTTCTTCCCTCTGCGATTCTTTTTTTTTTTTTTTCCACGCAAAATAAGGCGGGGGAAGGGGAGCGGGCCCCCCGGGCCCCTCCCTTACATCCGCCATTGATAAGTCCACGAATAAAGCAGGCTTAGTGGTATTAAGAGTGTCATATTTCAGTACTTCTTTGAAACGAGGATAATTGTCGGTGAAGAATTAATCATGCAATGTACATCTTCTCCCCATGTAGGGTTTAGAATCCTAAAAATGACGAAATTAGAGATGTTCGAAACTTCCGTAAAGGACGCTTACACATAATTGAAGTGTGAGCCTCGCTACATTTAAGTCCATTGGAACTGTCGAAGGAAAGGGTAACTAGAAACTTTTCAAACCTGAGTTATTACAGGGGGCCACCATCCCCATCTTCGAACTCTGCTGTCATCTTCGTTTGAATTAGCACTGCTTTTACATGCGCGAAGTCCTCTCTCTATGATTGTTAAATAAGCTGAATTCTGTACTATTATAGATGATATGAAAACGAAACCCATAGCACAAGCAGTAAGCTTTCGAGTCATCTTTCTTGGCTTGAGAGAGTAGAACCACAATGGAAAAAGCAATTAGTCTGACCTCACTCTCTTAATAATAAGCTCATGCTAGATGTAGGAGAAATGTTATTTTTAACGGAACAAACAGCCTGGAAAGTGTGATATCACAGGTTTTTATTTGCCCTTCAGATGACTCCGTTATCGGTAGTCTACCAATGATATATTGGTTAACTTTATGTTTAATTCATGCGTGCCCACATGAGAGTACCATTCTCAAGTTCACAAATTTTCAGATTTGCTTAAGGCCAATCACACTCCTGAACCTGTCGAAGGAAGATGTAATGAAAAACACCGCAATTTGATTGTTTGAGCATTAGTATTTTCTTTTAACTGACATCCTTTAACTCTTTACTTAACCAAATATTGATATATGGTCACCTGTTCTGAGCTCTAAGGAGCCATTCAATTTCGCAAGCGTATTTAACTAGAATTTGTTTCTTTGAGTTATCGATAGAGATGTTAAGCAATCAGAACCGCAACGCCGAGAAATATTTCGATTAAAATGATCTTTTCTCCGTTTTAGTTAGAGTTTTTTAAATGGAAAGATGTGTTTACAGTTTCTTATTGCGCCACACCTCAACTCAGCATAACATTTGTGAGCGGCGATGAGTTCCAAATGGAAACTTAAATCTTGTATGGCGACTGTCCACGATCAGGATATGATGTGTGTCATGAGCAGCAGACCTAACTCCCAAGCATATTCAATGTATAATGAATGATGCTTTTCCTCACGTTTCCCGACTTAATTATACCACAGTTACCACGCGCACATATAATAGTTGTGGACAGGAATGAAAATGGGGGAGAGTAACAAATATATAGCACGTTCTTCATCCATACCTAGCAGACAATTTTGAGATCTATGTTTCTTTTTAGTTGGTCACACCAGAATTATCCGACTTCTTCGCATTTTGAATAAATAGATAGATACATACATACTTTATTTGCTCGTTCCCACGGGGCTCTTTAGAGTTAATGTTATATTACAAACATAAAGTGCTTGATAACCCCAACTGGCAGAGGGCAAACCAGTTGGCTATTTACACAGCACAGCCGAGGAGTTGAAAAGAGAGTGACTAGAATAGAGATTTCCTGAGTTGCAAAATGTTCTATCGCCGATCGTGGCAGTTATGTTCTAAGATATGTAAAACGTGGCTATGATCTCCAGAATACCACTGAACTTATGCAGTGTCCAAATATCTGAGTTAATAAATATTACTTAAAGCTGATCCTTTTCCACCTTTGAAATATACGAAAGGGATTCTTTCATCTGGTTTTAACGCATATAGGTCTGGCTCACAATTTTTTCCCAAAATGGAAAAGTTTCATTTCCATACATTTTAAGGTAGGAAGAATATTTTTAACAAAATTATGGCACTTTCCAAGTGAGAGTACATTAATTAAGCTGCGAAACATGAATGAAGCGTACCATTGCAATCACATGACTGTAAGACACGCGTGGGGAACAACTGTAAAATGTCCTTGTTCTCTCGGAAAATGTGCTGGTTTTCAGTTTTAAAGCTGACCGTTGTAGTGACGGCATGGGTTTACTTAGTTATAATCCTTGATGTGGCAGGGTCCAGTTAGATTTTAGAGTCTATCACCAAGTTCACTGGTATTTAGAAGGTCACAGATGCTTTTAAAAGTCTCCCCTTGATAGATAAGTGTGGAAATAGATACAACTTAAAAAAACGACACGGCAGAAACAAAAAACTGCAAAAGGTGATACGAATTTCCACAGAAGGCTTTCTATGAATTAAGGAAAGGACTCATACATGAAGAAAAAACGAGTCTCATGCTTGAAATAAGGCCTATATGCAGATTCATGCCAAGAGACAGAGAGCCTCAAAGGCCTGATTATCTAGAGAAAGTTTAGCTGCTGTTTAAAAAAAGCGCGTCCTAAACAATCCTTACTTTTGCTGAACCTTCTATCTGAACATTTATTTTAGTGAACAGCGCAAAGATGGCCGAAGCTAACAGTGAAAGGATAGTTAATGAACTCAATCAACCCTCTTTTAAGAAAGTCTCAGGCCCAATGATTGGGTAAGACCATGGTTTAGGTTAGATCTCGTATAAATAACCGGCCCAGTGGGTTTCATAATTAAACAAAGTCAATATTTCACAGTTCGTGGAGCTGTTTTAATTCCATGATTTTCAAGTGACCATGTACAAGACTTATTGAAGCAAGAATTTTTTCTTCAAGTCATTGGATATAACGTCAAAAACTGATAAACAATAAAATAAACCAAGGATGTATTTCAATACAGTTCCAAAGTCCTTGATTGCGATATCTTCCATCGTCGCTATCTCTTCTTGTAAATTTTTGACTCAGGGAACAATCACGAACTCAGACATCAAGCAAAAAGCCCTGTTTAAAAGGATTATAGCAAAGAGGTGCATTAAAATGTTGCACTATTACCCGCGATGAATTTATCAATCTCACCTCTGATAAAAAGGACATCTCACACATAAATAGCTCACCTATAGCCGGATATGCATAACAATCCTCCCGTCTGATTCAAACGAATCCTAAATTACTGCAGTAGTTATTATCTTAGTAATTACTGTTACAAATTTAAGTGTAAATTTTATTCTTAATGCTAAAGTATTATCATTCTTTTCACTAAAACAGCATAGAATTTCAGTTCCTTGCACCTTGATGGAGGTAAGTGTTTACAAGTAGATAAAAATAACCGTTTGAATGTTTTCCAGAACAGTGATTCTAGTGAAAAGACTAAGAAAGACGTTTGAAGCCCACATAAAAATTAATTCCCTTTCCGTGTGCCTTAAGCCGTTTTATTTATAAACATATTTGCAGCTACTATGAACTATAATGGGCTATTTTCAACAGGCTTTATTCAATTATTATGGTAAAAGTCATAGTTCATATTTCTCGTTTCTTGTTCTAATAAACGCCCTACGTAAACCTACCGACGAGAAAACAAATTCTTTAAACGAATCAATTTCTCTGACCAGGCAATATTCGCTTTTTAATAAAGATATCTATTTTTACCTGATTCTTTCTGAATTTTCGCGCTTCTTTCTCGCGCATTTCCTCAAATCTTTTACTCGGTAGCCTTTTCCCTTCTCCTAAGTTTCTCTGTATGAATTTTTCTTCATCCTTATCTGTAACAGTGATGTATGATTCTGCGCTGTGTATGCTTGCGAGGAAAATTCCCACAGCAAGCACTAAAATACAGACGATTTTACCATGCATCCCTTTTCCTGTTCTGGACTCTTGCTTATGATTTTCCAAAATGACTGTTCAACGCTTGAAACTTAACTTTATGATACCGAAGCTAAGTACACAGCATTAACAACTTTGAGTAAAGCATAAAATATTTGCAAAGGGAAGTAAACTCTCCAATCAATTATGACAGTGGACAGTGTGAAGAAGCCTGTCTCCATTATGCTGACAAATAAATATCTGTTTTTGTGGATGCTGGGGCGTAAGAAGGCTCGAAATCTTCGACAGAGCTTTCGAAATGCCAACTCCTTTAAGGAGAGCAAAACCAGTTTCCTTCAACATCAGAAAATGCTGGTTGGGGAGTGTACATGATAAACGAACTTATCCCCCAGTTAATCACAACATAAATAAACAAAACTGAATGCCTTCATCTCGGTTGTTTCAGTCGGGCGAAGTGTTTAGCTAGCTAATATCCTTTGCCAGCTTTCTATTTTACCTAAGTTCTTTTCCTCTCACTGGTTGCCCGAACACCCCACAAAAAAAATAGAAAGAAAGATCTTCACAGATGTTTCTGTGATTTTTATTTGGCTTCAACTTTTTTTGTCAAAATCCATGATCACGACTAATACATACAAGTAGGGAACATTATAAATATTGTTTTCAATATTATTTTTAATTATATTCATTGACTCTTTAATGAAGTGGTACAGTTCTCTGTTCATTTCCTTCCTTGGTAAGCTGATCAGTTTCTGAAGGGCAATACTTCTGTTTAATTTGGAAGCAAACTTCATCCTCAAGTCTGAACTGTGATTTCAAAGAAAGAGATATCCAACATTTGAATAAGATCGAAACTATTTCGACTGACTCATAGTCTTTAAAGGATATGCCGATGTTATGGCTTCCTTAACACCTTTTGGAAAACTTTATAGCACAATCGTTTTTGAAACTTGTTTCATTTAATTCATAAAAACAGAATAATTGTCCCATTGGCTCCTATGGAGGCGATTCGGATTTCCATCAGTTCTTCAAGTGATGTCAAACCTCAAAAACGGATGGAAGGATCAGAAAAATTTAACAGTTTTTCGAATTGGACAATCAAAACTGTTGCATTGAACAGAATCACACCCAAACTACCCATTTTTTACGCCTCTGCTCAAGAGAACTTCCGATACTTACCCTTTTAAGTTTTTTCAAGCGCCTGATAGGCATATGTTTGAGGTGCTTCCATTTGACACACTCATCTGCAAAGTTCGTCACAGTCCTGTATGTGCTAAAGTCTACTATGCCGATATAACATTCGTTTTCAACAACGAATGAAAATAAAACGCATAGAGTAAGAAACACTGTGAGTTTATATTGTAGCATCATGATTCGTGGTCAAATCGGCTGTTGACCTCGCCAATTTTTTTCAATATACTCTGTACTTTCAAAAGTTTGAGCGATTATGAGATTTGCTGCTCTTGTTTAGACTCATGTCACATCAACTTCCGATTTCATAACGGTATCTGAAATATCAAGTGCTCTTTGTTGATTAAAACCGTTTTCGACCAGTTGGGTTTTATGACAAAATGACAGATAATTTCCGAAAGAAACTACTTCTAGGATGGCTAAGGTAATGAAAAGTCTTATTTATAAGGCAAACTCATGAAAATTCTTGAGATTTAAATTGAAACGATGCGACCAAAGTAAATAGTGAGACACGACAACAGCATAGCACGAAATCAGTAATATTTGTTTTTTAAGAGAGAAATTTCTTTTTAGCTTTGCTAAAAAATTGTTACCTTTTGCTCGAACACTGGCAGGTCTGGGAAAAATTACTGACAGCAATGACTTTAATTTTTCAAACGAAAAGAGTAGAAAAGAAGGAGAGGTATATGGTTAATTGATCCGCTCCTTAATTTTAGTGTGACCCGTGAATTAAGACTAGAGATTATAGTATTTTATTAGTTAAGACTATAGCATATTAAGATAAGCGTAGCCATGTGAGACTAGAAATCCTGCTATTGAAGGGCAAATGTGGTGGAGCAAACAACATCTTCTCTTCTCAAAAAATTTTTTTCTCCCGTGGTCTAGAATTCTACAAAAAAAAAGAAGACGCATGACGATTCACACAAAGATTAAAAGTGGTTATAAATTATCTGTGGGCAAAAGTGTAGGATCACAGGCAGTGCAACTTGCGACGGTCGACACGGCCAAGAGATGCTGAGTTCATCTCGAAATCAAATTGATCATTTAACCGAGCACTGATTTAATTTTCGAACGACAATTCTATTAGTTAACCCTTCCTCTATCCTCCACCTCTTACCCCTGCCAGCGCACAATGTGCCTGAGGTGAAATGGTTGCAACTGTGGTCTTGCTCACGAACTAGTTTAAGAAGTTTTCGGTACTCTCTTCTCCTTTTAAAGTTTTTTCTTTTTCAACCGATTTCCGTATCTTAGTCAAATTTAAACTTTGAAGTTTTGAAGCAGGACCCAGTTGTTGTCGTTAATTTTTTTCATGACTATCCTCTATTCCTGACGCATCTTTAGTGCGAAACAGCGACGACTAGTTAAAGGGATTTGTCGCCTATAAGCATACTGGTGTATACTCTTCGTTTGGTCATTGAAGACATTACCGTTTTCTTGGTATAATTCGGTCTAAAATTGAAAGAAAAAATCAAAGGCTATATAAAAATTTTGTCGATCATCCCTCTCTGGATTCTTTCTGTAAATTTTTTTAAAGTGGATTTGTAAATCATCTATAGTTGGTAATTAATGAAGTCAAAATGGTCTGAAAAGAATGAGGTAGTGAAATTCACTGATATGACCGTGAGTATAAGAAAAGACCTTTCAATTTTTCCTGTTGGTCTAGTGCAGAATCTTAGTCCGCAACCAAGAACCAACTTGTTTATCTTCTTGCATTTCTTCTGTTTATAGCTTCGGCCCCCAAGGTATGAACGGAAAGGTATGACTACTTATTCATCATGCATAAGTAGTCCCCCTCGCTAATTCAGCATATAAAGTATCCCACACAGGTTTAATACGCAAGACCGATAGCCTTGCTAAGGGGAAAAAGGGAAACAGAAGGAAAAGTTTCGTTTGTTTTTAAATTCCTGCTGCATTGTTCATCCCGAACTTTGACTTCTTTTCAATATTTAAAGGTCTTTTACATTATTTAATTGGCGGAGCCTTGAACTTAGATTTTTAACAAATAGCTTCATAAGATTTTAAACTACTTATAAATTCTCGATTGTAGTCAGAGCCTTTTTATCGACCGTAATAAAAGCAATAAAGACAAACTTCATTATTACTGACTGTTCAATTCCACTAAATCTGAAATCTCCTTTTGAAATCAAACAAGTTTGGCCGATCGTTAATAAAGGGAGACGGATACCTTTAGGCTCATAACTTTATTGATGGTGCTTGGATGGGAAACCTGCCAAAAGAGATAATGACAGGGCGTACCCTGGAAAATGAAAAATTGAGCCAGACTGTTAAAAAATTAATCACATGGAAACACTCAACTTTTTGGATGTGTGTAGCGAAAACTGTATCAAAACAAGTTAAAAAAAAAGATAAGAACCTGCAGAATCTATCATGATATTTAACACGGAAGAAAGGAAAAATGTTTCTACTGCCTAAAGAGTCTAGATAAGGCTTTAGTTTTGTATCATTGTCAGGAAAATTCGAATCAAAACGGATATGACTTATATGGTACCTCTCGGTAAATCCAATTTGCTAAGGTTTCGCTCTTCGTTCTTGCTCTGTTTTCGGCACTCAGGGGTAAATGACTGATTTTTCTCCACGATGCCCATAACATGTTGAAATTGATCAGTAACACGATTTGGCTAATTAGTATCATTTCAGTTTTTGAAAAAGCCTGCATTTGTACCTCATTAGCTTGGTGATAATTTTGAGATCTATTCGGCCTTGGTTTACAAAAGCCCAAAACAGAACCCTGAAATATTCTCTGTAATTCGGCATGTCGAAGAGAAACTATTTGTTTTTCCTGCCCTAACTATGAAGTTATGGCATTATGTTGCACCATTCTGAACAAAAGCATAAAAAATATACCCTAGAAATCGGGTCAATTTTGGCTCAAAAGTACTAGAAGTTTGCACAAAATCTGATCTTCGATCGGACATAAAGAAAGAAAGAAATTTTACGTCTTTCGAGATCTTTGAATCGTCTACATAAACCCTAGTTTCGAAAGATACAGATTGGAAAGATTTGAAAAACCCAATGAAATTTTGATGTTTCACACCACACAAAGCTTTCGGACAATCCTCAAAAAGGTGTACTTATATATAAATAACAGAAGGTTTTGAATTCGAAGGGGCCTTTTTTCCCATGAAAATTAAGACGCTTCCTCTTGTATTTTTCGAAAAAGACAACACCGATTTTTTTTAAGAAGACTCAGATAGTTTTGAAGATAAAAAACGTCATCAACCTCCAGGGCCGAGCATATGGAAGCATGCATATGGCACGAAAAGAGAGTTTTGATGTATTCCTATGAATGAAAATCAACTATTAGTAAAAATGTAACGCTCCAAGATATGACATTTTAATTTCGTCCTCTTTATTTTGTTTAAAGGAGAAGATTTGAAGATATCAGCGTCTATGACCCCCCAGTGAAGGAGATCTTGGACATCCATGACGGAAAAGGGATATCTGCATGTGCATTCTTCTGACATTAAGATAAACTCTTTAATAAGAATAATGGTAATTGATTTACGACATGTTTTGTCTCCTTATCTGTGAGTGAAGAGATCTCCTGGCGGTATCATACTTTGAGACAAAGAAAATGAGGCGATTGTCTGGAAAGACCAAAACAGAAACATGATGATTTATGAAAATACGTCAGGATTTGCAATGCATTCATTCATTCATTCATTCATTCATGTGGATAATTTTAATGGTGGGTGGTAATGAGAAACGAAGACAGTTGTAATCGAAAAATGCCATATTTTAATTAAATTGCACCATCTTGTCAGGAGCTTCAAGACAGAAAAGGCCTTTACATGCTGGTGCGCGTGCGACTACAAGTTTATTATTGTCCAATAGTAAAACAGTGGACATCGAGCCTGTAATATTTCAGCGGGACAAACGTTATAGCCCTCAATAAAAAGGACGAGCATTTGCGAAAATTGCATGATGATAAAAATCATATTTCGACGCGCTAACAGTTTCATACTTTTCAGGTAGTAAAGGCTCTATGTAGAATATATGTATTTTCGTGAAACTCAAATCCATAACTCGTGCTTCTCACATTCAGTTACTTACCAAAGGACATAAGCCAAGTCGGAGCTGACCTTTACAACTAGGGGTGAAAGACAGGAAATCATCGCAAAACCATATCTTTCTTTCGCCGATAAAAAATAGGCTTAGAAAGATAAGGCTACGCATCAGGCTCTGCTTCTGTTCTTTTGGAAATTTTTTTCTTGCAGAGTGCATCTCGCAACCAACTTGCAACGTCAACTCGCTTCGCCTTCGAACTGAAAGACTTTGCCTTAGGTGAAGTCACATCGCCGAACTTATTTGGAGTTAATCAAAACAAAAATATCGCGTCATCCCACACTCCCAAAATCAAACTCGCTCTGTACTAACCTAGTTTTAGTTAAGAATTCTTTGATGGTCAGAAAGCAGACACACCTATAACCGATCCAACAAGGACCTAAAAAAATAAACAGTGTCGATACTTAGTTCGACCTTGTGTAAGTATTACATGTTAGTAGCATCTAAGTTGGAAGTCGACATAGGGCGGCATAACGACGCTTTGGTGAGACCGCACTTCACGTTAAAGGAGAGGTCACTCAGCAAGGGCGTACCCTTACCCGTAACCTTCATTCATACCCAGCAAGCACTGTGCCCTTACTTAACGAATACGTGAACCTTATTCGTCGTTTGGTTTTGTTGCCCTCATGCCGGTCTGACGGGAAAAAAAAGAAATATTTTCTTTGAAAGTTTTTATTACTAACCCTTTGATTGTCATAAACACAGATTAACTCACTTGGCTTTCAAGTACTCTTTTAATCATTAAAAAAGTTGTCAACGATCCTACCAAAAATTTTATTCACTTGATAGGTTCTTTGAGGTTAAAAATGCAATACCTTAAACTAAGAAATATATCAAAATTTTTGACGAAATTTTGCTCATAACTGATGTTGTTTGTTCTATTGACTCAGGAAAGTAAACTGAAGAGGCAATCGGTTCGTTATCTTGATTATCATGATAAAACCTCAAACCGTACATCGGAAAAGTAATTAGGTCAGGAGTACAAAACGCGCTTTTATTTAAGTGAAAAATTGCATTTTGAGTAGAACACATTGGCCAATAAAAAAATTTCTCAAAGTACATTTCAAGTGAACAACCAAATATTGAGAAAAACAGGATACGGATTTGAAATAGTTGTTTCCGTTTTTTTTTTTTTTTTTTCCATTTAGCCGCTATGGAAGTGATCAAATTACCTCGAATTTGAATTTCCCTTTTCAAAAAAATGAATATATGTAAAATAAAATGACAAGACTTGAATAAAATGAGGACTTAGGACTAATTGAAATGATTTTTGACCCTCAACAACGTTTTTAGATTGGTGTTCATCCGCATTCTTATCTACAATTCCAAACTCTATTTTTCAAATTTTGCTCTCAAGTTTATTTTGCGTCTCAAGAGCACGTGCGCAGCAATAATCATTTGTATCAGAGAAGGTTCCAAAATTATGATGAGTTAAAACCTGCCCGCGATTTAAAGATCAACCTACAGATTTCCTATCTGTTAAATCGAAACTTACTACCTTAGGCAATATTAAATAGCGGAAATATTGCGACTTGGCTGAGTGATATGACCGGTAGCATCTGTCAAAACTGTATGAAATTTCATTAAGTTTATTTACAAACTAATACAAGCATCTTTGCTATTGGTTTGTACAGTGCGTTAAGTTCTACAGTACTTTATGCAAATTCCTTAGTAGGAAGACTAGACTCTCTTTGCTCTGAATTTTAAGACACCGTTTCGTAAGATAAATCATAGTAACCGTAAACTCATTGTCAAAGTTTTAGGCAGCCCAAGTTATGTCTCACGAAAATATCACAGCATTCAGTGGCAACAATGAATCCGATCTTGATTCTGCTTGTTACGATCTCAACAACACATCCTCGGTAATTTGGCAAGTCGTCGGCTTTGCTTTTATCTTCTTAACATCTCTCATGGGCAACACAATGGTGGCTATTGTGGTGTACAGAGACCGAAGGATGAAAACAACCGTGAACTTTCTGATTGTGAACATGGCTGTTTCGGATCTCTTAAATACTATCCTCGTTGTTCCGAAAAGTATCACACGCATATTTACCTATTCAGAGGCATGGTTTATTACTGGAGAGATGGGTGACGCCTCATGCAGAATAGTTCACTTTTTACAAGACGTTACAGTTGCCGTGTCTCTACTAAGCCTCCTGATGATTGCAATTGAGCGTTTTTATGCCGTTTCTTGTCCAGTCGTGGCAAACCCCGCTCCAGATAAGCGGTGTGCATTAATGATACTTTCTACTTGGCTGGTGGCGTTTCTTATGTACATCACAGATTTGCTCTCGTTTAAGTTGATCGTCGAGGAGGAAGAATCAATTTGCTCCCATAGTTGGGAAGATCTGGTGACAAATCCAGCCAAAGCCACAACAATTGAGTTCCTTTTGAATACAAATCTGGCCTTGATAATTCCATGCATCATTGTAACCACCTTATATTCATTAATCCTAAGGAAAATTAGACGCATTTCTGTTCCAGATGATGTAAGTTCCTTAGGATTAAAACGTCAACGGAAGCGTAACCGAAATGTAATTCGTATCTTGCTTGCAGTGGTTATATCGTTCGGCGTTTGTTGGTTTCCCTTCATAATTTACACATATACATTTATTTTCGGTTATTTCAACAAGGACCAACACAACATTCCTTGTGGTTTGGAAATCTATGGGAAAATAGCATTGATTATGGCGTATCTGCAGTCATCTGTGAACCCCGTCATTTACTTTGTGTTCAGTGAAAATTATAGACAAGGACTTAAAAGGTTCATCCGCCACTGCTTACCTCTCTCCACTAAGAAACCATCGAATTTGAACAAAAAAGCCACAAAGCCGTTTAAAGGGACTAAACGCGGGTTTTGGCCTGGGAACGGAGTGGTTCAATGTCCAGATGTCGAACTACGCAATTTCGACAAGTTGTGATTTATTGTAAGAGTTGTGGAGCAGCATTTTTTTTAACAAATTTTCTTCAGCATAGCCTTGTTTGTTCATCAGCAGTCTCCCACAGTTCAAGGGTAATGTAAGAGAGAGATAAAATGAGTTTAATTTCATGTGAGAATAAAATCTTGGAAACTGCAATTAAAAAAAATTAATCAGAACATAACCTTTCTAAAATTGTACTCGTGAGGACGTGCAAGATTTTCAGAGGTAAATACTGATTCTGAAAAGCAAGAAATATGATATTTAGTCAACAGAATTTGAATATCAAGTTGTTTTGTTCTGCTAAACACCTTTCCACCTCCTTGTTTGCCATTACCTATGACAAACCATCTGTTAGTTCGCATTGGCTAGCCAAAACACTTAACCAAAACAATTCAATGACGTTTGTTTATTAAAAACACTTATTTAATTTTTTCCCTGATCCTTTTTCTAGTTTCAGCTGTGCAACTTGCATTCAATATTTGTACAAATTTCATAAGAAGTTTGGCTCTAAGAGTGAAGGGAACTTTCAAGATGACTCGAGTTTGATAACTTTCAGACAAGTTCAAAGTTGTGTCGGGAATGACAGAACTGCTTTTTCAACAAAAGCAATCAGAAGTTGTTTAGGCAAAAGGTTATATAAATTTGAATTATTTGAAAGCGTCTACGCTTTGTCTTTATTATTCATCTCTCATTGTAAAATGACTTGCTTCTTGGAAGAAAGCTAGTGAGCTCGTCTCGGCAAAATTTTAAGGAATACCCTTAAGAGTTAATTTGACATTTTGAAAGATGAGAGGTTTAAAATTGGCGGTTTGCATATAATTCTTGGTGTATTGCGCGCAGTGAAACGACTGCTCGCGTGCGATTCGAATATCTCCCGAATCATCCTTTGACGACTCCGCCACTTTTTGAATATGTCTAAGTCTTCTGCATTTCAAACCCAGCAGTATGATAGTAGAAAGTTTTAACCATTTGAAATTAATTAGTATAACATACGAGGATATCACTTATAAATTTTCCAGGATTTAGATCAATGTGTAAAAATATTTTTAAACCTTACTCTGATGAGATCCTGTCGATGATTAATTTTCTCTACCCATTAGCCCATTTAGATGTAAATTATTCGGAAAGGCTAAACAGTTTTCAAGCTATAGGTAATCATTCACTTTTTGTCAAAAGAGGATCACCTGGCTACGGAAAAACTAATAACAAAAGGAAGCAGATCCTCCAAATTGCCAGTGTTATATTTTCTCATGGATACCCTAGCAACAGGGGTCTCTGTGTGTTTGCTTCCAGATCATCTGCGAATGCTATAATTTACCAATGGAAATTTACCAAGAATTTCGGAAGAGGGATATTTACAATGATTCAAATGAAGCCCTTCCGATAACAGCAGCTGTCTGACAGAACTTAGATTAAAAGTTTGCTTAAGCAGTGTACACTTCTTTTTGATTGGCTAAGTTTAAAATAAATTAGGCCTTCTGTCCCGTACTTTGTCTCACCATATATGTTAACAGTACAAGTGAATTAACAAAGGTTGGATGTTATTTTATTTCATTTAACGCCTGTATTCCCGGTAACAAATTGCTACGCCACGTGCCTTTTTAACATGAATACGGACACACATATGAAGAATGAGAACGGGACCAATACCTCTCTCCCTTGTAACTTCATGGATAAAACAATTGCAGACATTTGTAGGACCATCGTCTGCGCTCTTATCCTGACAACATCGATGATTGGTAACACAATGGTGGCCATTGTCGTTTACCGAGACCGAAAAATGAGAACTACAATAAATTTTCTGATAGTTAACATGGCTGTTTCTGATTTCCTGTGCTCAGTTGTCGTTATTCCAAGGGTCTTGACTGAGATTCACACCTACCATGGATCTTGGTTGATTGGGGGAACTACAGGTCTAGTGTTATGCAAGGTGGTGCACTTTTTACAAGATGTCACCGTGGCTGTGTCATTGTTGACGCTGCTCATGATCGCTATTGAACGTTACAACGCCATCTCTTGTCCATTCCTTCTTGATACCATTCCAAAGAAACGGTGTGCGGTGATGATACTGTCTACTTGGGTTCTAGCTTTTTTGATGTATATAACGAATTTTTTCACATTTGAATTTTCCATTGTGGAAGAAGGTCCATCATGTCATCATAGCTGGGACCGGTTGGTATCAGATCCGAAAAAGGCGACAGAAATAGAATCCCTTGTCCACACGATTATGGCTTTGATGATTCCTTCCGTCGTCGTGATCGCCTTTTACACCGTAATTCTTATTAGAATCAAGCGAACGCCGGTTCCTGGTGATCAAACTGCGATTGGACGAAGGCGAAAACGAAGGCGCGACAGAAACATCCTTAACATATTGCTAGCAATCGTCCTTGCATTCAGCTTCTGCTGGTTTCCATTCATAGTTTACACGTATTTGGTAACTTACATTTGGATAAAGAAGGACTTAGACATAGATATTCCTTGTTACATGGAAACCTTTGGAGAATGGGCGCTCTATTTGACATTTCTAAATTCGTCGGTAAATCCTGTCATTTACTTTACCTTCTGTGAAAACTATCCAAATGGACTCTACAAACTTTTTTGGCCATGTTTGTCACCTTGTAATGTCAAACAACCTCATGAAAAAGGTAGTTACAAATATGCTCCATCAAGGGTTCAAGCTGGTGGATACCGGAGCAATAGAAGTGTGCCTCGGGATGAGAAAGAGTACATTCATTTGCAAGTTCAAAATCCTTGATATTTCAAAACATTTATCATCGCTATGGCAAAATCTCGAAGATGAGCGCCATATAACAGAGACATTTCATATTCTCCTGGAAAGAGCTCTTATAGAAGGTTGCGAAAAAAATTCAAGAAACCAGAAAAATGATTAATTTGAATTCATATCTCTTTATGAATTTAAACTTTAGAAAAAATATATCCGTACAAATATTGATTCACAGGTAACATGACACTGCGAAATTATGAAACATATTAAGAAGACAAACGTGTTACTGGGAATCACTATCTATTTCGTTAGCTCCTTTTTTTTACCTACAAATTTTAGCTATAAAATACAGCTTCTAAAACTCATTAATCTTGGGATGAAATATAATCCTGCAAGATAATTAAGGTGAAGTTGACATTTAGTTACCACAAAAGTTATTAAATGTTAAGTGCGACCAGATGAAGCAAATATCTTGCAGCCATTAGCCGTTCAGTTGATTTTATGATCTCACTTTTCAGAGTTTCCCGCAAGGTTTTCACGTGCGAAGCGAAATTAGAGAAACGAGTGGCAAAATGATATTTAGGCGAAAGGAGTAATTGATAGAATGATTTCTAGCAAATTAAATATGACAGGTGTTTATGAATCCGAGGTGAGACCGAATCCATTAAAACTAAAAATTGACTTAAAGTAAAAGTAAAATCATAAAATTTTCACTTTACAGACTTTGCAATTTTTTCTAGTATCTCACATGTATACTTTTATGGGGGCTCACGCATAAGTATATTTCAATTGAAACTGTCTGTAGTTTGAAAAGATTAGTCTTCAGAGCTACGATACAGTATTTGACATTTCGTAAGGATTGAACAACGAGGCACTCAAGTTTCATCTCCAGATCACAAGTATAGATCAGGTGGGTTTAACTACCTTGAAAGTGCATTTGGATGTTAACACTCTTTATCATATAATTTTACAGTAATTTTTTTCTGGTGTCTTACACTTTGCCTATCAAAGCGCCATTTATCTTTTCCATTTCTTAGCAATCTAGCTATTTTATCATTACGATCCGTGTTTTCGTTGTGCAAATCGATTTTCCTAAAAGTATTATGAGCCACCTTCGATTATGTTTTAAAGAAATGCTTGATTTTACTTGAAAGAAAATCTCAGATGAATTACGGCGGCAAGTCATACAAGACCGCAAGAAAATTTTCCTATATATATTACAATCTACATGTCTTTATTGTCACTGGGCAAACAGGACGTTTACCCTTATTTTTGGAACAATTTGGGCTGATGCAAAATTATAATACTTAATATGGAAAAAAGTGACAAATGATTGCATTATTAAGGTGTAGGAGGCTTTACTGAAAAAAACTTTACGCTCGCTTGAAACGTCGAACTATATTTGTTCCGACCCAAGTAACTAAGTTCGCCGACAGTTGATTCGGACGTCGAACTTAATTAAGTCCAACCTAGATACTGAGGTGTAAAATAAACCATTACAGTCACGGATTACTGTTGAACTAATTGAGTCGAACCGAAGGATTTAACATGGCGGAGATGCCTCAAGAAAGTACGGGAAACAACTCGTCAGAATTTCCTCTCGTCAGTGCCATCCATAAATGAAGATAACGCCTGACGGAATACACATAATTATTATAAAAGCGAAATTCAGTTTGGCATTCATCGTCAGACATCATGTCGAGTTCAAAAACTTCGTAATTTCAGTAAGGAAAGTCAGGGCTTTTCGGTGCAGTGTTGATATTGTACAGCAAAACAAATTCTTCATCGTTTATGACACTTGAATCGTACGCATAAAGAAGGGAAAAACCCATCTCTCTATAAACTTTGGCATAATTTCTTATTACAAAAGAAAAAAGGCTAAGAAACTTTCCACGTACTGTGCTTGCTTGTGTGGCTGCGATGTTTGGTGAGCTGATCTCAAACTGGCGCATCGTGAAATTTTCCCGCCAATAGGATTCGCCGCGTCGTCGTGACCGGAATCGTAAACTATTTTACATGCGAGCCGCCAGGCCCGACGCGACCACCAAGACAGATCGCGGCGTCTTCTAGAATCACAGCATCGTAAACTCACTGTTATGTGCCTTCGGCCGCGGCGTCGCGAACTTTTTCGGATCGTAAACTCACTTATCATGCCGGGCTGGCGTGTGCTGTGAAGCGGAACTTTGCCGCCCGCTGTTGTTTGAAATTGAACAACGGAAATACAAATAAAAGTACAAAACAGTTTTCAAAATGACGGCTGAAAATACTATATTGAACGCCACTGAGGCCCTGCGTCCACTACGTAATGAAGTCGGTAATTTCTTCTTGTTTGAAGGAGAAGTGAAAACAGCTCTCGCTTCAATTTTTTGAAAAATACTGTGTGGGTCAAAGCTCTTTGAAACGAGCTAAGATATCACGAATTCCAGTGTCAGCACTCCTCGAAGGAGAAATAAAGATGTGGCTAAACATGCTCCATAGAGGCCTAAGTCTAAGAATGAAGGCCCGAAGCGCTTGGGCCTCAGAGTTCAAACGGGCGATATTCACGGAAATTTTTTCCTTAATTTTATAAAAATGTAAAAAAGGCTCGTTCCGCTTATGGTGTTTCGCACAAAAAAGAAAAACACACAGATGTAATCTACTATCACCGAGAGAAAAGACTTATTCGAGATTTTGCCTAGTTATCCGAGCTCTGCAGCGACTCAGTCCGAGAATTCCTAATGAAGAAGAGTAAAGGAATATGTAAAGGAACTTCAAAAGTTTCCCTAAGTTCTGAAACGCCTTTCACCATCACATTTATCAAGAGGACACAGCAAGAAGTGGTGAAAGCTCATTACACATCATTGGCTACACCTTCCCATAAGCATATAAGTAATGAGAACTCGACTGAATGGAGTATATTTCAGGCTGTTTGTAATTATAAGTAGTCGTAACATTATGCACTCGGCCGATTTAAGTTACTTGCCTTGCCTTAATTGTACTCCACTCTGCGTAGTTACCAGTGAATCCTATTAAAATACCATAGACGTGCTACATCAATATTTGAAATGGAATGCCGTTTAGTTGGAATGCCGTTTAGTTTGAGTTCCAATCAGTTTGATTCGTTTGGTTGGGGCAAATTTTAAACAAAACCATACAACAGAAGGGTGATCAGTGTAATTTATTCAACACTATCTTAAAGGTCCTACCTGCTGCTAATACAATATATAATAATATAATCCCAAGTCAACAGTGGTTTTGAAACAGATTGTATACAGATTTAGCTTTAAATTACAAAAGCTGTGGAGCAGTATTTCCATCCTTAACACTATGCTCAATAAATTTTATGATTGGGTCTCCACAGAAACAGCACTTAACATCCCCAGGACATGCCTTTAACAGACCACAATAGCAATAAGAGGATCACTGAATACCCTTTCTGGGATGTAGGCTACATTTTTGCATGCAGCTTCTGGCTGCTGAAAACCTTGCTAAGGCAGCCAAATCAACATTACATATAAATTTTTTCAAGTGCTACTCTTTTTTTAAATGCTTCAACCTTGTTGATAACATTTACTCTTTACTGGTAAATCCAGGGCTTTCTCTTGTTTGACCTGTCAATTCCAAATGTACCTTTCACATGCCTAAAATCAGCTAATGAAACATTTGCAAAGGGTGAGAAATACTCAGCACTAATAGTCAATTCACCTGCCAACATGGCAATTCATACTCAGCTCTTTCAAACTCTGCAATTTGCAGTAATAATAACCTCACATATTTCTTTGTAACAGGAGAACTTTTATCACAGTTGGCACCAAAAATTAGAAAGTTATCATACCTTGATGCCACCCTTCTTCCAACATTAAGGAAACTGACCAAGAAAGAACATGCACTCTCATTCTTGCCAAATAGGCATCCGTCACCTCCAAGAGCAATTTGAAAAGTGCCTGTTGATTCTGTACAGCCTTTCAAGCTTTCTTTAGTATTCTTGGAGAGATAAAATTTGGCAAGCATTGCAAGGTATTGTCTTAAGTCTCTATATGCACCATTCACTTGGTTTTCAGTTTTAAGCCCTCTAGATAGTCTGGGTCAATTTCATGAACAGTTCCAATATCAATCTTTGTTAACTGTTCCACATGGTTACTATAAGTAAGAAGCTTTGGTACCTCACAACCTTTACAAATTGAAATGCTTGTTTTTTGCCCTGGTTTACTTTCATTGAAAGCACTAGTCTAACACTTTTGTACTTCCGTTTACCCATTACACCACTTGCATAATATGTTGCAATACTTTGTACAATGTTGTCATCTGACTTTTCAAATTTTAAAACATTTTTCCTATACTCTTTAGAAACTACACTATTAGTCAACTGCTTGTTCCCTGTCACATAATTTGTGAGAGTATCCAATTTGCATCTTTTCTGTAAAGTGTCAAACAATCCCTCAAAAGTGGCTGAAGAATGTTCATTTGTGCTTTCATGCATTCTGGCAGCAGCTTCAATAGTCTCATGCCTCCTTTTCCTTGCAATTCTTGGTCCCAGTGATGATTCTCCATCAACAAGTGCAGTAGGGCTTCTTGTTCGTGCCTGAGATACCTGTCCCTGTGTCTATAAATACCACTAAATTAGACACTGAGCAGTAACACATTTATTAAAATAAGAAATGGTTGGACGAGACCGAAATTGTAAACAAAACAGATCTGAACACAACAATTGTATCTTGCCATATCTTACATTTGATATTTTGATGTTTATAGTTTAGAGACACTGTCATTTATGACTGTCTTCTGACTGACCAAATGAACACAGGCACACGCTCAGGTTTCTTGCCCAGGTACTGGCATAGAAGCCTGGCACTGGCTGTCATTCTGGTACTGGCTCTGTGTTAAGTGGCCAGTCCACCAAAATGTAACTTGTAAAAATATTTTTCTTCTCACAAAATTGAATATTTTTCCATTAATGTTTTTATCAAAAATTGGCATAAAATTTCATCCATCCACTAACTAATGAAAACCTACAGTCAGAATCTGTGCACAGCAGTTTTTTGCTGCACACTTACCAGTACTGGTAAAACAACCACAATGAGGAATCAAGAGTATACTCACAGGAATATTTTCTAATTTATTTGTTATGTCCTTGCATCCTTCCCCTACTGTGGCCAACTGAAAGCATTAATTAAACATGTGTATTCTTATGCACTGATTGGTTAATTTTTAAAGTTCGTTTAAAGTTCAGACAGATAAAAAAGCTGGTGGTGGGGGGGTATTAACGAATGTTTGTGTAAGGAGGAACAGCAGGGATGCACAAACCATTACCCAGTTTATAATTAAAATTATCATTATTGTTACTATTATTATTACTATTATTATTATTATTATTATTTTGAATTTCCTACCTTGTCAAAATTGAAATACAAGCCTCCCTGTGCTCGCACTTCCACCACTTGCCCAAAATACTTTGATGCAAAAATTCTCTAATATTCGAAATATAAAACATTCTCAAAGCAGCAATACTAATTTAGGTAAAATTTCCGCACAGCCCCATACTATTGTCAAACAAATCTGTTTTCCCTATGGCAATGTATTGTTTTTGTCATTGTTTTCTCTGTCCAAGAACTGAATGCATAATGTAGTATGGGGCTGTGCGGAAATTTTACCCTAATTTACGTTAAAAATGACAAATTAAATATGTTATCTCGCCTTTTCCTGGGCTCGTTGGACTTTTTTGTACTATGCCAATAGCTTGCGATTTTCATTAACAGCTTTCTATCTTGCAACCTTCCAATCTTTCATGTATTGAGCCAAGTTAAAGCGCGTGTTCTTTTTGGGCGGCATCCCAAATAATAACTCATTAAAAACTAAGAAAAGAATGCAAAATTAGTAAAACCAAAAATCATAGAGTTCTATTCAAGGCTTTGAAGTTTATCTTCGTAACAAAATTTCTCGGATAAGAAGAAATATTTAAAAGACTATCCGGGTCAAAAATACGATATGAACGGTAAACAAACCTTACCTTCCCTTTTACTATTTCCTCTGCTGTCTCTTTTCAAACGAACATCGAAGAAATTATTGTATGTTTTGGCATCAAAACGACGGGAAAAACTGTTTACTTTCAGCAAATTTGAGTTTTGTCGCCTTCGGGCTAACCCAAGGACCGCTCGGAGGCATTTTTCGACAGGCATTTAAGAGAATGTCTCTGTAAGAGCGGTCCGGTCGATTTTGCTTGAGACACGGATTTCGCTCGTTTCTCGTGTGTTGTAAGACATTCATGTACCTATACTAAAACCACAATCAGTTTGATCGGATCTCTTTATTTTTCAGAGTTTTACGGAAATTAAATTTCACTCGAGCGAAGGCTTGTTGTGACACTTTTCAAGACTTTAATTTCACACAACTTTAGAGGACAATTTACAAAAAACTACGGAACTCAGCAAAAAACAAATACCACAGCCATGTATATTAACTCTATCTTATCTATCGAGGCGACTTTCGTAAACATCACGTGTCAATCAAGGAAACAGGAAGACTTGAATGACACCTTATCGGTTCGCCTAAATCAAACACGCCAAAACCGATCAAATTCAAGGTAAATTTTTGAAAAAGTGAGGCGTTCTTAACTGATCCAACTAACATAGCTAGGAAGAAGGTGCCATAGGAAAGATAACTACAGAAAAAAACTTTGCGGCCCGACCTTTACAAGAACTTTATAACTCCGTGAACTTACCTAATTTTCGGCAATCTCCAAGTTTGGCCGCCATTTTGAGGGACTTGTCAACATGAAGCGTAACCGATATAAATCAAGCAGGTAAATCTAAAACCGTCAGAAATACATACGAAAGCAATTCAAATGAACTTTTCTTTCAATTCAAGCGGCAAAATTTGAAATTGTTCGTTAAACTTACAATCCTCATGCGACCATTTCTTTCAACAATTCAAACACTACAACTAGTGTTCGAATTCCCCTCGTCGATTCCACCGCAAGAAATAACCTGTGCCACCCAAGCTTCGACTCGAATATGAAGTACGAATCAAATAACATAACTGCTTCATCTTCGCGGCAATATCACGCTGGTATTTTGATTTTCCGATCGACAAGAACGGTGATCAGGAATATATCGGTTTGTTTACCTCGTAAACGTGACCTCTGACCAGCCGCTAAGTGAAAATAGCATAGCGCGGGGTGGGGTGGTTGGCGGGCTTATCGTCATAAGATATTCGAATGCATGCTCAAAAAGCTTTAGGACTATCAGTCTAAACAGTGAAGGCATGCTTCGAGGTACAGACAATTTTTATTTTATTCTCATAACTTTCTCCTTTAAATTAGAACTGGTATTAATTAATAGAGTTATCAATATATTTTTAACCGGGGCACCCATATAACCTTTTTGCTTGTCATCAGTGGTATAAAATAAAATGTCTTTTCCACCAGAACCTTTTATTTATGCCCCATTGCACGGAATGAACACTATACTTAGAATGTTTGCTCTAAGTAATTTTTTCTGTTCCCAAGAATTTATGCAAAGTGATAGAGATTTGATTCATTCCGCTGACACGTTCTTTTAAGTTATGGCGCGTGCAGGTTTTTCTATCAAAAGTCGCGCGTGCAACACACCGGAATTGAAAATTCGTCGTAAAATCGCAAGAACCTTAGAATGAGTTTAGGCAACTTTGACTTCTGGCGAGATTAAGAGGATGGTTCAAAGGACCCCTTGAGACTTTTTTCAGGACTATAACTGAGAATTGTTAATAACTATGATAATCGTCATCATTAGCGGACGGTGATTTTTGCCCATTGTTGTCATCATTATCGTTATCACGCCGGAAGAAGTATAAAGCCGGCATGTCGCCTTACCTAGCTACACAGAAAATTGTTCTCTCTTTTGCTCCCCTTGGATCCTGGAAACTGTTACTATTAAGACGATCAACAAGAAAGCCTTTATAATTATTGAAACTTTTGATTAACAGAATGAAGGAAAAAATCGGTGGGAGAGTTTTTCGCGTATCTTGTAATCTGAACGATAGTTTTAAATAAAACAAATAACAATTCATTCAATTTACCTTAGTTGTCTCGTGTTTAAAAGTGGCGTTTCTGGGGACCGTAGATTCTTCTCTGATTCTTCTTGTCTCAGCCAAGACTCACTATCATCAACTTTTTTCTTGTGCTTCTTACGGCATGGGACACAGCGAGCTGAGTAAGCGATTGCAAATTTCTCAGTTAAAGTAAAGCCCAGTAGCATCCATCAGGAATTAAAAACCGACATGCACTGTTTACTTTTATTATTCTTAATCAAATAAGGGGTGTTTTAGTCTGCAAATTTAATCATATCGGTTAATGAGAATCATACAAACTGAGGAAAACTGACCGCAAATAATTGTGAACCGTACGCATGAGTAAGTAGATTGCGTTGTCAGGTGATTTGATCTTCTACAAAAACATTATTGATTATCAACCGAGCAACTTTGTACATATTTCCATCAGTGATGAAAAGCACTTACACATAGATCTATTTTTTTTCAACGTGATGTGTACTTAAGTACCATTCATCTAATAAAGAATTTCTTCTCTTTTCGAGCAGATATGTCACGTGACAAAAATAGATAACAGAAAATGTTACTGAAGACCACCTGTTACGAGGTAAACAAACCGATCGATTCTTGATCGCCGTTCTTGTCGATCGGAAAATCAAAATACCAGCGTGATATTGCCGCGAAGATGAAGCAGTTATGTTATTTGATTCGTACTTCACATTCGAGTCGAAGCTTGGGTGGCACAGGTTATTTCTTGCGGTGGAATCGACGAGGGGAATTCAGAAAGTTGTAGTGTTTGTATTGTTGGAATAAATGGTCGCATGGGGATGGTAAGTTTAACGTACAATTTCAAATTTTGCCGCTTGAATTGAAAGAAAAGTTCATTTGAATTGCTTTCTTATATATTTCTGACGGTTTTAGATTAACCTGCTTGATTTATATCGGTTTCATGTTATATTATATTCATGTTGACAAGTCCCTCAAAATGGCGGCCAAACTTGGAGGTTGCCGAAAATTAGGTACGATCACGGAGTTATAAAGTTCTCGTAAAGGTCGGGCCGCAAAGTTTTTTTCTGTAGTTATCTTTTCTAGGGCACCTACTTCCTAGCTATGTTAGTTGGATCAGTTAAGAACGCCTCACTTTTTCAAAAATTTACCTTGAATTTGATCGGTTTTGGCGTGTTTGATTTAGGCGAACCGAGAAGGTGTCATTCAAGTCTTCCTGTTTCCTTGATTGACACGTGATGTTTACGAAAGTCGCCTCGATAGATAAAATAGAGTTAATATACATGGCTGTGGTATTTGTTTTTTTGCTGAGTTCCGTAGTTTTTTGTAAATTGTCCTCTAAAGTTGTATGAAATTAAAGTCTTGAAAAGTGTCACAACAAGCCTTCGCTCGAGTGAAATTTAATTTCCGTAAAACTCTGAAAAATAAAGAGATCCGATCAAACTGATTGTGGTTTTAGTATAGGTACATGAATGTCTTACAACACACGAGAAACGAGCGAAATCCGTGTCTCAAGCAAAATCGACCGGACCGCTCTTACAGAGACACTCTCTTAACTCAGTTCCAGTCTTCTCTAATAAACACACGGTCACAGACGCCATATTTGTGGACAATATTTGTTCCGTGAATATGAGAGGGATCCTCGCAGTAATAAACACTACTTGAGCAGTAGCGAAAATAAGGCCTGGAAAAAATTCAGGCCTGTACTGGATTTGAACCCATGACCTCTGCGATACCGGTGCAGCGCTCTTCCAACTGAGCTAACAAGCCAACTGGGAGCTGGTCATTATGTTGGTTCCAAACAAACCCGTGAAGTGATGAATAAACGGCTGTGAATATATGAAAGTCATATATTTGAACTGCGGATAAAGACGAGAATAATAGAGGGATCTTCGCAGTAATAAACGCCTCATAGCGCGCGCCAGCCCGGCGTGAATGAGGTCTGCAAGTCCTTGATGACCACCTATGGTGAGAGTGTGCATATATAGTCATATGCCCAAGACTCAGGATGATCCCAAAGAAAAAATGTTGGATGTGGAAGAGATTTTTCAGTTGCCTTGCTGCTAGGCAGTAATAGACAGTTGTCTTTAAAATTCATCCCCATACAAAATGAATTTTTATCTTTCGCTTCTACAATAATCAATATATCGTTGGCTTGGGTAATTTCCATATTTCATATTGATTACTATATCATTAATCAAATGTCAATTAAGTCCCTAGAATTTTTGTTGCAGTAGCAGCTCCATCAGCTGACAAATTTTACGGGCTCCCTGCAATAAATTTACCAATAACCATAACCATTACGATTTGTTCAAACGTGATTGGTGCATTGGCTGCTTTGGTTCTCACCTATTATTCTGTAGAGTTGTAATCGGACAGAGGAATCGGACAGTTAAAGCAGCCAATCATAATTGGTCCATGCCATTAGCTAAAACCGCAAATCGCAGAATTGATTACAATAACCATAGAAACGAACCAAGTACCCTCCTAAACTAAGATATTTCCAAAATAAGAGGAGGTTTTTATTTGAGACAATGTCTCTACCGGAAGTTTTAACTGTATTGATTATGATTAATTAGTAACAGGACTTCCTAACGTATCCACTGTATGGATTGTGTTCATTTCCAATAAAAGGTATGCTAATAAGGCTGGCATTAAGTCTGTAGCTAAGCAAAAGCTGAAACAGTTTACGCTCGTGCTCTAAGGATTTTTCGCTTCTTCTGTCGAGAGAGAAATTGTCTCTTTGATAGGGTTGTTTGGAACAATCTCAAGGTTCAACGTTTCTATTGTTGCTGAATCTATTCAGTATCTTTTTTGATTACTGCTTTCTTCGTTTTTAATATAATAAAGAGCCTTTCTTTTTCGCCTTGCCAACTACTTTTAAACAGGGTGGTGAGCCACTTGCCAAATCTTTCATCTGCTTGAAATCTCTTAATTTCAGTTGCAGTTTTATGCGTCGAGGCTGCCTGCCTTATCTTGATTCGCAGATAAATCAAAGTGTAGTCCTTCGCGGGTGCAAAAAAAAATTAACACGCTATTTGAAGCATAACCACCACAAACTAAATATCAATAGAAATGCACTATTTGACCGCAGCTATTTCGTTTTAGCTTGATCTCATCGTAAACCGAATAGGGCGCGACAACTCGAAATGGACTATGTTTCTTTGAGCGAATTAATCCCATATTAAATTTGACCGCACAAATAAACATTCTACTCAAAAGCAGACAAAGAATAAAGATCTCCACGTGCAACAGAAATCAGATGTTTTCGCGATTGAAATCCAAGGACCAGGATGTTTTTCCGCAAGAAAGCGTCCGGGAGTCATTTCTGTTGACATGTTAAAATTGGATATTCACTGTTTGGCGAGCCAAAGAATTCAGTTCGAAAATACATTTTTGTAAATAAGTCACACGCTTTTCCATATTTTAACAAAAATTTTCTTGGTAACTATAGTAAAAATAATAATGTTTAGTTTGACATGAAATAAAAAGTAAAAAAAAAAACGTCTATCCTAAGCAGACTCCCACTCCAAACTTATTTAAAATTTCTCCATGCAGCTGTTTATTTTTTCTGATGCTTGGTATTTAATTTGTGACAATAGGTTTTAATTTTAAATATGTGCTGTTACTCACAATGATATAAATAACATCATCAAGTGTTCATGGAGACCATTTGGCTTTCGAAACTGGCTTCCTTTTCCTCTTTGTTTACGTCGTATAAAGTTGGAAAGATGCGTCCAATTCCGCACAACCCCTTACCCTCTTCATCCATCTGACTCAGCCATTCATTAACATAAATTATTTTACTGCCATCCACCACAATGTAATCAGTATTTTTTTTTTCACAAATTTAGTCTACTGTGCACACAAACCATGTACCTAGAGACAAACGAGATTGTGGGAATTAATTTCAAAACTAATGTATGCATAGTGTGTGCATTTGGTTCGGCACGTGAAAGGTACACGTATGAATCGAAGTTGATCTTTTATCGTTCTAGTCGACAGGGTCAGTTGAAAATTAGGTTCGGTTCATTTACGGTTGAACGTTTGAACTGGGCATATCTTTCTAATGCTTTGTTTTTATTTTCTTAACGCCAAGGGGGTATTAGTTGTGAATGCCAATCACCAAGTAAGATATGAATAAATTTGAATTGCCAACTTTTCTGGTTATTTGTTGTTGCAGAAATATCAAAAACCTTCTAAATCAGCTTTCCACTTGAAAAGCAACTTCTGACAAATTGGACCCTTTTGAAATTATCCAAAGCTAATGCTGTGTTTTATGCAGAAAATTACAGAATTTTAACATCAAAAGCAGTATTTAAACGTTGCCACAATTTGAGCACGTTTAGCTAAGGGATGAAAATTGCGAATGAAAAATACACACCGGCAGAAGCACAAGAAACAAAGTAGCAGTTGTTGATTTCTAAATTGTGTTTTTCTTTAGAACCGACTAAAATATGACTACAAAAATAAAGAACAGGTGAAGAAAGAGTACTGCACGTTCGAGGTGTCGCTGACGTATATCCGCCGGTCGATTCCTTTGATAAAGAAAGGGCATTTTTATAACTTTTCCTCTCACAGGAAGGATGTGCTTCCGAATTTGAGTTTTCAAAAAGGTGAAATATCTGGATTCTTTTTTAAGTTGATGTAAACGATTCCGCGTGGCAGTAAACATTTTTAAAATATTTACACATTTAACACATATTCACTAGTAATCTCAAAGTATTAGGTGAGAAGTGTCAACAAAATAGGCCTGCCTTTCTTGGATTTACGTAAATTTTCATTGTGTGCCATTGCTTTATTTTTAGTTTAACGCAAGCAATGGCTTATCCATGGTTTTTCTGTAAACTGAAAGAACAAAAAGCCCTATGTCCTTGTCAAACCAATTAAAGAAAAGCGACCTTACGCAAACATAATTTAAAATGTACCTGTGGTTGCGCGCCCCTCAGCGAGGAAACAAGAGTATGCATATTGTTTAAATGCTTTTTTTTAACTTTATAGGAAAAGAGCAATACGTGGGAAAACAGCGGAAGCTAAGGTTTATTTAAACTTTGAAAAGCATTTTTTTTTTTTTGCTGCTAATCGTGATTGATCGTTAATTTGTTTCTAGAATGTGATTTCCCATCCCTTACAAGTTTAAACACAATTTCAATTTAATCTGAAATTTTTGGACATGGGCGGATACCAATATTGACTTTGGTTGGTAAACATTCAGAAAACCAAACAGAACGTTTCTTTTATAGTCGCCCGCGTGCTAATGGCCTGCCACACGTCTTTCAATCTTTACGAGCACAGTCGATCGGCGTTCTTGAACCCGAATATAAAATCGTAGCTTAAAGCAATTGGCCAGTCAAGATGAGCAATAACGCCACAGCTAACGGAACTGCGACATCTATTAATTGCTCAGAATATCCCACAGCGGAAAGGGTGGCTAAAACCTTGGCATACTGTGTTATAATCGTTGTATCTCTCACTGGAAATATTCTTATCGGATCAATCGTGTTCAAAGTAAAATCCATGAGAAGAACCATCAACTACCTCATCGTTAACATGGCTATGTCCGACCTTATTCTTCCAATATTTGCTGTCCCGAGGATTCTCACACGATTGTACCTCGGCTACTGGCTCATAGATGGACATTTTGGTTCGGCGCTTTGTAAACTGGTGTACTTCTTACAAGACGTCTCCAACGCTGTATCTATACAGTCATTGGTCTTGATAGCAGTGGATCGATTTGGGGCCGTAGTGTTTCCTCTCCGTCGACCAGTTGTCAGCGCCAAGCTTTGCCCGTATTTTATATTATCGACGTGGATTGTTGCCATGGCTCTTCATTCCCCATACTTCTTTGCTCGCAAACTTGACTACTCGGAAGAACTACTAAGATGTGCTCTGCAGTGGGAGGAAGCCTTCGGAGAATCATCCTCTGAAGCGAGCTACTATGTAGCAATGTTTCTATTATTGGCGGTGATTCCTTTCGCGTTGATGTCAATACTTTATTCCATCATCATCCTGAATCTCAGGGCTCAAAAGATACCAGGAGGGGAATCAGTGAGGGCAGAAGAACTTGAAAAACGAATGAAGAGGGACAGAAGCGTGCTTCAGATGGTCCTAGCCATCGTTATGGGATTTGCATTGTGCTGGGCTCCGTTCAACATTTTTGCGTTTTTGAACTTTTTTGTATGGCACAAACCTCCTAAGCCAAGCTGCAGCATACAGCATTTTGCTTTCTTTGCAAGATTCATGGCTTACGCGAATTGTGCCATTAACCCATGTATCTGTTTTATATTCAGCGGTAATTACCGAGAAGGCCTGAAGAGTTTATTTGGTTGTTGCTCTCCCAAGTGCAACATTAATTCATGTTTCTGTCCATTGCGTGGGCAATCGTGGAATGTCCAAAGCATGTCATCAGATGAACTAAGAGAAGTCACATTGGCTACTCACGCATAGAACTCAGAAAAGAAAACTGAAAGTTTAAATTTGGTGGCTTCATTGAAAGCTAAAATTGTTTTCAGCTCTATCGTTGTCTCTTTGGCCTTAATCTTTGTAAATATTTAAAGAGATTCATTTTATGTGACAGCGGCTTTGCCAAACGATTCCGTAATTTACGCATACTTCCTATCCTAATGACGGTTATTGTTTATATGTTTCCTTGAAATTGGCAGCTGTCATTTGTTATTCAATCTTCGAAAAATAATGTAAATAATTTTAGTCGTCCGCTATTTACGTTGCAAACAATTTCTGTTCAAAAACTATATCACTCGATGCGACTCACAGGCTTTTTATAAAATATTCGGTAGTCTAAAGCTTTGGTAAATGTATAAAGTTGTATAAAGCTACTACGCGAAAAGAAAATCGAATAGTACAGGAACAAATAACAGCAGTTCTAGCAGTCTCTGAGATCAAATCACTTCAACCCATATCTGAAAGAGTGACTTTCCTAACAAGGCCCAAGGGACCAAAGGTCTGTCAGCTGGACTGTTGTGGGATTTCATAACTTCCTGAACATAAAAGCAGGGCTCACGCGAAGTGTACGCAGCGTAGCCCCATGTTAACAAAAATAGTGGCAACCAATCCAGCCGAAAAATTTGGTAGGGTATGACTGTACGTCCGTACGTACAAGGTGCAACTTTTAGTTTGCGCAACCAACTGAATTGCGGGATTAAATCGTACCATTACGTAAGCACAAGGGAAACAGTAATAGCATGCGCAAAACAGCATGCGCGATTGCGCGCGTAACTTAGAAATACCAGGGCTAATAGAGGTTGGGTGATGAAACGAGCGGTCCACTCCTCGTGTAAAGTGACAGAGTAAGACTGGCACGGGAGTCTCTACGCGGTTGCGACGGCAACGAGGACTTGGAAAAACAAAAGACCTAATTGGCAGAACAATAGCTCAGCACGTGCGTTGAAAAACTTTGTATTTCGGTTCCGGTGAGACGGCAACGAGGACATGGAAAAACAAAAGACCTAATCGGCAGAACAATAGCTCGGCACGTGCGTTCAAAAACTTTGTACATTTCTTAGCCGTCCTATGCAAAACAACAACGTGAAATAACCACAATTCTCGTCGTCTGCGAACCGAAACCGCGATGGCAAATTGTTTTTATTTCCGTTTCTTACGTTTCTTTTATACGTTATGCTGAAGTTAAGGCGTGGTGCCGTATGAGACAGTAAACACATGCACCATTTTTGAAATTCTAATTAAAGGCAGAAATTTATTTTTTAATCGAAGTCTTCCTTGGCGCTGCTGTTCTGACTGCTTATGGTCCTATTAGGGACCTTTAGCAAACCACGACTGCGACGGCAACGAGGACGTGGCAAAAAAAGAAGATCTAATGGGCAGAACAATAGCTCAGCATACGCGTTTTAAAACATTTCTTAGTCGTCCTCTGCAAAATAACAACGTGAAATCATCAAAATTCACGTGGTCCGATAAAGGAAACCCCGACAGTAGATTATTTAAGTTTCCATTTGGAGCTCAACGCCGCTCTCATACGTTAGGCTGAAGTTAACTTGTGGCGCGGTAAGAGATGGTAAACACATCCAGTCATTTGCGAAATTTTCAACTATAAATATGTATTCATTTGCTTCCTTGGCGTTGCCGTCCTAACTGCTAAAGGTCCCTATTAAGTCGTCAATGTCCAGAATCTCTTTCTCTTTCTTCTAAGACTTTCTAGTAATGTGCCATGGTTAAGCAAGTGTTTGACGGCCTTGTCACGCTGCTCAATGAGCTTACATCTGCATTAATTTTTATTGATATTTCTTGGTGCAAGTAGCTAAAAATTCTACTTCACTTTGAAGTTTTCAAAAGTTTGCTTTGGCTTCGGATCACGACCTTGTTGCCCGCGTATATCGGAAAAGCGACTGTTCCCAATTCCTTCCACCCCCAAATCCTACACATGCCATAAAGCGATAAGTTTTCGTTGATATAGGAAAAATTTGGCTGGAGATAAATGGAGATAACAGAGTTATATATCATCAAAGTTCTTTCCTTTTGTTGAAACCAACTCGTGGATTACCACGCCATTACATGTAAACAAACAAGATCTTTTAAGGCGTCAAAAAAAAATTATCTTCAGCTAGTAAAGATGAATTGAAGCTGAAGCAAAAACGTGTCTGCATTTGAATGGAGAGTCACAGGAAAGACTGTAGATAGTAAACGTTATTAATTAGATAGATAATGGTAAGGTTAATTCACTTTTTCAGGTTAGCATAATTAAAAAGCAGCATGATCTGAAAATATGGGTTATCATTGAAAGGAGATCGATGTCGTCGTTGTGCCTGCTCGTATCTGCAATTTGAATGGAGAGTCACAGGAAAGACTGTAGATAGTAAACGTTATTAATTAGATAGATAATGGCAAGGTTAATTCACTTTTTCAGGTTAGCAAATTAAAAAGCAGCACGATCTGAAAATATAGGTTATCATTGAAAGGAGATCAATGTCGCCGTTGGGCCTGCTCGATGTTCACGCACTATTTTAGATGCTCTCTCCAAACAGGGAACTCACAGCGCGCAAAGGGCGCGCAGCATACTTTTAAGAAATGGTAGTTACCATCAAGCCGAAAAATTTGGTTTGGTATTCGACCGTACGTCCATACAAGGTGCTACTATTAACATCCGCGGCCAACTGGAATGCGGCACAAGTTTAGCCATTAAGTAACTGGAAAGGGAGGGATAAGGTAATGTGTCGGCGCGATTGCGAGAGCAACTTGAAAATTCCACTCGTGTGCCTCACGAAACACTGGTAGAATATGATTAAAAGCGAATGCTAGAGTGCCGAACTTCGGTGCAGCGTGCCGCGGGCACAACGTTAAGCGTTGTACGAGGGCTTCACGTGGAGCCGCTAAGGAAAGAATTTTTAGGCGGAATCAGCTTTGTTGCAAGGTAAACAACCTACGCTGATCGATTAAAAATGGTCGAAACTGTTTTCAATTTCTAACCGCGAATGAAGAAAACGTCTAAGGAGCAATACATGTCCATAGTGATAATATATATGCATATGCATACTACGCCTTTGAATGATCGGGATTCTGATAAAACTGACAATCATACCGGTTCGTAGAGATTGCTTTTTTATTTTTAGTGAACATCTTTCAACAAAAAGAAAGTGCATCAATGAAAATCCTGTCTTTCAATCTGATCTAAGCCAGAATAATTCCATAGCTAGTTTTTTGTGGCTTCATAACAGAACTTTGGAGCACGAAATCTGATATTCTGATGTTTGGGTTTGACTTTCCGAGCGGGATTTGGATTTTTCTTCTTTTTCACACTTTCTTGACAAAGCTGATAAAGTAAAGCAAATAATACATGTATTCTCGTGTGTTAGAACACAATGCACACCATCATCGTTTTTTTAGTATTACGAAAAGCAAACAGCATATTTTTTTTCTATCTTTTCTTTAGTCCCACTGTGCTCAAGTTTCAGTCCAATACCTGTTACAACTTATTGTATTCGAAATAGGTAAACCCTTGGACCTCAAAATACTGCTAAATCCGAATAACGTATTTTTTGTGTGTGTGTTGTAAGAGCACAATGAACGTTTATCTGATCAGAGTTTTTTTTTTGTTTTTGTTTTTTTAAGTTTCCCTCTCTGTTTCCTCTAATAATTCAAGGCGCGTGTCGTGGAAGATCGTTATTAATTTGCCTATCAGGGCTTCTTCTAGTCGGTCTTGACGAGCTGAAAGTGGACGCGGAAAAACAGACAAGCGAGCATGTGTGACTGCTCGCCGTTTTTAGCGCACCCACTTTTTCGCTCTTCTCTAATAGTTGGGAGCCTGGCATAGGCTAAAAATTGTATTTGTGTTCCTCCTTGAAGGGATATCAATGCTTTGAATGCTTTCCACGATTAGCAAAGTTCTTGAAAAAAATATTTAATCAATGGCAACTTGCTTTCTCTATGTCAATACGGCTTTCGACCAGGAAATTCAACATGCAACTGTTCACTTGATATTACTGAAGAACTTGATACTTTTCTTCATCAGGGAAACTATGGTGCCTTTAGTTTCTTAGACCTAAGTAAAGTTTTCGATATTGTTGACACCTCATTTTATGAAACAAGCTTAATTATTATGGATTACAAGAAAGAGAAATAAGCTGGTTTTAGTGCAAGTGCATATCAATATGCAATATGCATATCATATGCAAGTGCATATCAATAATGTTACCTAAGATTTAATCTTAACTCTTCTGGTGTACCTCAACATTCATTATTAGCACCTCTCTTATTTCTTATTTGTATTAATGACTTCATCAAGTCTACTGCTTATTTTTCAACAAGATTACATTTAGATGACATAATATTAATGGCCTCTGGAAGCAATCTTGATGTTTTATTAGCTGATATAAACAACCATCTGTGACGAAATACCGTTAGAAGTGTGCAGGCATAAATTACCGAGCTCCATATACAAGCGGCGAACATAAGCAAGTGCGATTGAAGTTATCACAATGAGCGCGCGACTAAAGGTTATATAACAATAAGCGGATTCGGGGTATAGTGAGCGATTTCGCGGTCTTTGAACGTTTGACTGCTGGCTTTTTTTAACTTAAACTTATCGTTACGCCATCTACCTGCTGTCTACAAATGGTTGAGCAGTAAAAAATTAACCGTTAACCTTACTAAACTCAGTATCTCATTTTTATCCCCAGTCAAATGGAAAATTGTAATTTGTATCCACCGTT